AACGAAGATATGAAACCCTACTCAATCAAGGAATGGATCACAGTCCAACAACAACAACGATGAATAACACAAGTTAACATCAACCAATAGGAAGGTACAAACAACACACACGCTAGCATTTAAACACCGAACTAGCATGCTTAACAAATGGGTAAACCAAACGTAGTTCCGAAGAACACACAAGACTCATCACGGTTCAACAAAACACAATGTTGAACACTTAGCATGATTCAAGACACCAAAGCCTACATGGATACCTACCATATAGTTCTAGACGTACGAAACATCAAGAAGACACTCAAATAGTTCCACAAAAGAACAACGGGAAGTCAAAAGACCAAATACCGAGTCAAAAGAATCACAGGGAACAAATCCCCCAACAATCATAACATGTTCCCCGCGGGTGGACCCACGGGTAAGCTCCTACCCGTGGTCCTGCCCGCGGGTACTAACACCCACAAGCCACGTTCCCGCGGGTGGGGCGGCGGGTAGGGCTCTGCCCGTCGTTCCGCCCGCGGGTACATCCCTGTGCCCAAAATAATCCCTTCGTCGATTTTCAACTCCAAGCTCAAATTCAAGTCCAAACCATGCCAAATCTCACCAAATACAACAAAATGACTTGAATCAAAGGAATAGCCAAGCAATGGCATACAAGAACCCTAAACACAAGCTCTAGATATGCATTTTCACAAGACAATGCATAAACACTCAAATTTCATAGCAAAACACATGTAGAATCCAAGAAATATTCACATAGGTAAGAAAAATAGATTTTTGTAGAGCATGGGTTACCTCTTGTAGACCAAAAACCTTCACATAACACCACACCAAGCTCCTATCAAAGCTCACCTTCCAAACCCACTTCAAGAACATACCAAAAGATCATAAAGATCCTATTTTTAAGAAAAGACACCTAAGAGAACACTAAAAACACAAGATGAACATGGATCTTACCCTCCTAGATGCCCAAATGTATGAAAGGTAGAATCTTGGAGACAACTCTTGAAGTCTTGATAAAGTTTCAACTTGGCTTGGAAGAAAAGCTATCCACCTTTTTAGAGAGAAGATGGAGAAAGGATTTTGGAAAGTGTAAGGATAGAAATGAAATGTTCTTACTAGGTTAGGTTACAATACTAACACAAGGTGAAAGGTCAAGAATACCCTTACTAACATGGAAAGGTGTAAGGAACAAGGGAACTCCTTACAAAGCTCAAGGTACAACTATGACTATGGGGTTGACTAGTCAGTTACTAGTCCCCGACTATTAAATTTCAGGAATTTAAGGAATTAAATTACAAATTGAAATAGGATTAATTACTTAATTAATCCCTTAACCGAATTTGGATTTCGGGGTGTCACAGTTCTAGACATACGAAACATCAAGAAGACGCTCAAATAGTTCTACAAAAGAACATCGGGAAGTCAAAAGACCAAATACCGAGTCAAAAGAATCACGGGGAACAAATCCCCACACAACCAACATATGTACCCCGCGGGTGGGCCCACGGGTGGACCCCCACCCGTGGTTCCGCACGCGGGTACCACACCCACCGGCCATGTACCCCGCGGGTAGGGCGGCTGGTGGACGCCTACCCGCCGTTCCGCCCGCGGGTACACACCATGTACCAAAATAATCCTTTCGGGGATTTTCAACACCAAGCTCAAATTCAAGTCCAAAACATGCCAAATCTCACCAAATATAACAAAATGACTTGAATCAAAGGAATAGCCAAGCAATGGCATACATGAACCCTAATAACAAGCTCTAGATATGCATTTTCACAAGACAATGCATAAACACTCACATTTCATAGCAAAATCACATATAGAATCCAACAAATCATCATATAGGTAAGCAAAATAGATTTTGTAGAGCATGGGTTTCCTCTTGAAGACTTATCCTTCACTTACAACACTTCTCAAGCTCCTAACAAGGTCCCCTTTTCACACCCACTTCATGAACACACCAAAACATCATAAAGATTTCACCTTTAGAAAAAGATACCTTAGAAAACACTAAAAACACAAAAGGAGCTTAGATCTTACCCTCCTAGATGCTCAAAAGTAGGAAAGGTGGAATCTTGAAGACAAACTTGGAAGATCTTGGTAGCCCTAGATTTGGCTTGGAGAGAAAGCTATCTAGCTTTTAGAGAGAAGGGAGAGCTTATGATTTTTGGAGAGTGTTTGGGAGAAATGAAATGTGTCTCTTAGGTTAGCTTGAAAGACTATTGCCAAGGAAATGTCTTATTTACCCTTACTAAGATGAAATGTGTAAGGGAACAAGGGAACTACTCACAAAGCTTTAGGTACAACATTTGACTTTGGGTTGACAAGTCAATTACTAGTCCCCGACTATTGAATTTCAGGAATTTAAGGAATTAAATTACCAATTGGTTTAGGATTAATTACTTAATTAATCCCTTAATTGAATTTTGGATTACGGGTTGTCACATCGTCTCCCCCTTCAAAGAAGGTTCGTCCCCGAAGCTTGGGTACGACGAATTAAAACAAACGATGAAATAGAACATCAATGTGACAAGAGTGTCAAGAACATCCTCTTTTGATCGAAGTTCAAAGGATTCAAAAGGTATCACAACAAGTAAGAAGTCATATCATTGCAAGGATTGAAGGATATAACCAACAGGGATAAATAGCATATCAAACTCTAAACCAACCACAACCATCAACTTCTAACCAACTCCCTAGATCTAAACAACTAGCTCAAAGAACCAACCACCAAAACTAACTACTCAACTAAACAAACAGGCAAAAACTCGCACACAAGGCAACAACAAGCAACTAGCAAACGGTAACACTACTAGGAAGATAACAACAAACTAAGGAAGGGTGAACGGGATTACCACAACACCGAGCTAGAACAACTCGCTCTCCGACTCATCGGTGCTCTCCTCGGATTCTTCGTCAACACCTCCTCTACGACTTAAGCTGGCCTCAATCTGATCTAACCTCTGGTGGACGGCAACAAACTGCGTCTTCATAAAAGCGAAGCCTTCTTCAATCATCCGGTTCTATTGACGTAACAAGGTGACTACACACTCCTCGTGCGTCATGGAATCGTGCTCCCTTTTGGTTTGGGCTTCTCTTCTCCTTTAATTTTCTTCACTCTCAGAATCACTTTCCTCGGCCTCGGCAGCTTCTGTCGCTTCCACCTCTTCTTCATGGCCTGCTTCATCCTCATCCTCTTCATCACCTCCTAAGCTCTAGACCGCAAGGTTCAACTTTCCAGCATGAATCTCGAGCTCAACTGCCAACTCAGCTCTTTCCTCGGGAGACTTTCTTGCAAACTCTTCAAGAGTGATATAATCACCATCGTCCAACTGAAACAAGTTGCAACTTCGCAGGTTGATGGCATCCAATACCATCTTTCCTACGGGCTTCGATATACAACCATCAACGCTTACACCCTTCTTGACAAGAATCCAGCTCAACACCATACCATACGGTAGGCTCTTTCGGTTGTGATCACAGCAGAAGACCATATGTTGCAACATCAAAGCCGGCAGATTGAACTTTACCGTGTTCTTTAGGCAAAAATCAAAGGTACACTCCAACTTCCCCAATAACCAACTTTTGTTGTTATTGGGCAACAGACAATCTGACACAAGCATTACCAAGATCCTTTGCTCGGCGGACAACCACTTCTTCTCTGGTCTTGAAGCTTGAGTGAAACCACTCGTGCAACCCAACAAATAACTCAAATAGTCCCAGAACCCCATGGTATCCGTACTAATCCACGAGTTACCACTATACTGAGCAACTCCCGAAGCAGATAAACTCAGAAGCTGAGCTAGCCTCTTTTCAGACAAAACCACTTTCACACCCCTCACTTTAGAGGTGATTTCAAGCTTACCACCATCCTTTGTCACAACCATGTGACGATAAAATTCCTTAACCAAACTTGGGTATGTCTCGGCCCTTATGGCGAGGAACCCATCTAACAACCCTTGAAATCTAAGCATATCCAACAAAGAATTAGAGAAAGATTCCGGGTCGAAAGCTTTACCTTCAAGAACGAGATAATGGGCATCCACCCAATCCTCCTTTCTAACCAAACTTGATCTTCTAGGCATGATTAGGAGACGACCCAAAGCTCAACACAAGAAAACCAAAACTTTCATCTTCTTTCTCTTCCTTCTTCTCGCTGCTCTCATTCTCGACGGCCCGGCGGCAGCGACTCCGGCAGACGACGACGGCGGCTTGGTCTTCAACGGCGACGGGGTCCGGCGGGGGCAGGTGGTGGCGACGGGTTGAGGGAGGGGGTTGGTCTCGGCTGACTCACGGGTAGGGAGAGGGGAGAGAAAAAGAAAATTTGGGATATAGGGATTTGGGGAAAATTTGGGAAAGAAGATGATTTAATTTGGGAATTTGGGTAAAGTGGGAATTTATGGTTTAGATGGAATTAAAATTGGGTAAGTTTCAAGAAATATAATTAGCTCAAGTGGTTAAAGGGTTGGGTTAGCAAATGGTACACTCGGGTTTAAAACTCAAGGTTTGCAAATAAATGTTTTACTTGTCTTTTAGGCTACACAAGAAATGATTTTTTATGGATTTTCTATTCCCAAACTCAAAGAATACTTGGAGAAATTTAGGTGACTCTCAAGAAGGAAGGTTTGAAAAATATCCACGTGCCAAGATTATGGAATTAACCCAAGCATGACTCATTTTAGGGACAAACAACTAACTTCTATAAAAAGACTCGCACGTAAAGCTAAGAGAATTATTCATCAAAGAAGGTTTACGACTATAATCAAAAGAATCATTCACTCGGGAAAATGTGACAAAGATAACAAGGCAACTCAAACAGACAACGAAGGAACAAAACAACACACGAAGGCAACAAAGATGAAGATGCGTTCTAAAGACAAGGGTAGGCTAGAAAAAGGTTACCTACTAGCTCCTCCTCCACTAAGCCTTCGGTCTCCGCTTGCGATCGCCCCATCACAAAGACTCTCCGGCTGCTCCACGGTTTGAACTACCTCCTACTGCTCCTCCGGCTCCTGGGGTGGTGGCAACGCCCTTTGATTGGCTTGCTGAGGACACTCGGCGACCTTGTGACCCCTATCTCCGCAACGAAAACACCGGAACGCTTGACCATGACAATCCTGACCCGCATGCACCTTCCCACACCTACGGCATGCAAACGTCTTGACTTGATGTCCATGCTCCGCTCGATTGGGCCCTTGGGTTGGAGATGATGCATTCCTAGTTTGGAAGCTTGGTCGCTGCTTCTTATAGTTGGAAGAGCTTCCACTCTCAGTCCTCTTTCTTGCAAACTCAAAGGATCCACGCTGCAGCTGCTGAACGCGATACAAATCCGCGGCACTCACATATGCATCCTTCAAAGAACTCGGCCTACTCACGGTTAAGGCCTTTCGTGCCTCATAATTCAAGCCAGCAACGAACTTCTCAACTTTGGCGAGCTCGGTAGGCACAAACATTCGGGCGAAGCGCGCAAGCTCTAGAAACTTCTTGTGGTACTCGACCACCGATAGAGATCCTTGCTGAAGATGAAGGAATTCCTCATACATCGCGGCTCGCACATGCGCCGGATAAAACCTCTCACGCATCCGATCTTTCAGGGCAGACCAATCAAACTCGGGCTCCTCGAGGCAGGCTGGACCCTCGTGTATCCACCATAGATCGGCCTCATGACTGAAGTAGAACATCGCCAGCTCTACCCTCCGCTCTTCCGGACAACCAACAACCGAGAAGATCTTATCAAACGTTCTCATCCACTCCTCTAAGACAACCGGGTCTTCTTCACCCGCGAAGGTCGGTGGTCTGTGACCCGACACGAGACGCCCCATGTCCCTATGCCCGACAGGCTGAGGAGGTGGCACGGGATGGTTATTGTTCAGCAACGCCTCACTAAGAGTCTGCATAGTCTGGGTCAACTGTTGTAGGTTCTGGGCAATCTGCTCATTCGTCAGAGCCTCCGGAGTACGCGCACGTTGACGAGGAGGCATCGCAAACTTCTACAACAAGACGACAAACAAGGAAACAACTGTAAACAACGCTCAACTCACCGCGCATCCTAGAATCCTAAGCCTAAACACTTAGATTCTTATGGTCACTTTAAGGTCTCAAACCACACTTAGCCACTTAGAAGTCTAGACTCTATCATCCTAGGCTCAAACCTAGGCTCTGATACCAACTGTAACACCCCTAATTTCCATTATAAATTAAACCTTAATCATGCAGATAACTAGCCATAATAACATACACAGCGGAAGACTAAACATGGAATATATAGGAAATATAGGGTGCTATGCCACGCCCACCCAAAGGTGAATGAACAGGCGAAAACATCTGCACAAAATCCACTATCTGAAATAAGTTAATGACATGAGTACTAAAATCTAACAACGGCACACAGGCCAAAACGTCTCAAGTTTAAGGGATTTATGCTAACAGGCTCTAGACCGCGCTCTCGTCTACTCAGCACCTGAAAGAAGCATATAAAATATGGGACGACGCCCGGTAGGCGAATGATGCTGGTAACCCACCAATACATGTGAAATATCATAGATAGATAGGATATATGTATACAAAATCATTTGCGAAACGGGATATATATATATATATATATATATATATATATATATATATATATATATATATATATATATATATAAGTTCAAAAGCAAGAGCAGAAGTCAAGCACAAGACTCAATGCACTCACAACCAAGATACGGGAACACATCCCATGACACAAGAAGTAATAACGACCCACAAAAACGGCTCAAGGCATAATCTATCATCACTCAGTAGATTAACACCCGACATGCATAACACAACCATTGGCAAGACATGCCTTTGTGACATCACACGTCACAAATAGAGATATACACAACAACGGCTACACAAGCCTTCGTGACATCACCCATCACGAATTGAGATGTCTTCCTTATGCCCGGTTCCAACCTTATGGCTACCCCCAACCTTATTTCTAGTTCCAACCATTACCTCCAGAACCCCTGTACAACCAAGTCTAACCTTTTACCTCCTAGGACCGTCATCCCCCATCAACAACCACCAACAAGACCACCGATTCATAGTACACCAGGATACCGATCACACACATGGCAACAAATGCCACCCAAGAAATACATGAAGCCATCACTCAGGTCACAAACTCCATAATCGCGTCATGGCCACCACGAGGACCACTGCCGTACCTTGGTGACTAATGTCCCATACCATTAATCGTGCAATCCAGGTACAGCCACACACACCACACCACAATAGGAATCAATCAACGGATCACAACGAAGATATGAAACCATACTCAATCAAGGAATGGATCACAATCCAACAAAAACGATGATTGACACAAGTTATCATCCACAATAGGAAAGGACAAACAACACACACGCTAGTATTTAAACACCGAACTAGCATGCTTATCAAACGGGTAAACTGAACGTAGTTCCGAAGAACACACAAGACTCATCACAGTTCAACGAATCACAATGTTGAACACTTAGCACGATTCAAGACACCAAAACCTACATGGATTCCTACCATATAGTTCTAGACATACAAAACATCAAGAAGACGCTCAAATAGTTCCACCAAAACAACATCGGGAAGTCAAAAGACCAAATACCGAGTCAAAAGAATCACGGGGAACAAATCCCCACACAACCAACATATGTACCCCGCGGGTGGACCCCCAGCCGTCGTTCCGCCCGCGGGTACCACACCCATCGGCCATGTACCCCGCGGGTAGGGCGGCGGGTGGACGCCTACCCGCCGTTCCGCCCGCGGGTACACACCCTGTACCAAAATAATCCCTTCGGGGATTTTCAACACCAAGCTCAAATTCAAGTCCAAAACATGCCAAATCTCACCAAATACAACAAAATTACTTGAATCAAAGGAATAGGCAAGCAATGGCATACATGAACCCTAATAACAAGCTCTAGATATGCATTTTCACAAGACAATGCATAAACACTCACATTTCATAGCAAAATCACATGTAGAATCGAACAAATCATCATATAGGTAAGAAAAATAGATTTTGTAGAGCATGGGTTACCTCATGAAGACTTATCATTCACTTACAACACTCCTCAAGCTCCTAACAAGGTCCCCTTTTCACACCTACTTCATGAACACACCAAAACATCATAAAGATTTCATCTTTAGAAAAAGATACCTTAGAAAACACTAAAAACACAAAAGGAGCTTAGATCATACCCTCCTAGATGTTCAAAAGTAGGAAAGGTGGAATCTTGAAGAAAAACTTGGAAGATCTTGGTAGCCCTAGATTTGGCTTGGAGAGAAAGCTATCTAGCTTTTAGAGAGAAGGGAGAGGTTATGATTTTTGGAGAGTGTTTGGGAGAAATGAAATGTGTCTCTTAGGTTAGCTTGAAAGACTATTGCCAAGGAAATGTCTTATTTAACCTTACTAAGATGAAATGTGTAAGGGAACAAGGGAACTACTCACAAAGCTTTAGGTACAACATTTGACTTTGGGTTGACTAGTCAATTACTAGTCCCCGACTATTGAATTTCAGGAATTTAAGGAATTAAATTACCAATTGGTTTAGGATTAATTACTTAATTAATCCCTTAATTGAATTTTAGATTACGAGGTGTCACATCGACAGTCTCACTCTTTTGACTCTCAACAACTCACCAACAACAAAACCATATCCCAGTCCTTATATTGTGCACCGCGGTAAAAGACGACGCCGTTACCGTTAGCGGAGTGTGTGTTTTGTGTTTTAATTACCAACTGAAACTATAGTGTATCTAAACTGACACTGTCTCACCTATTATTTTTATATTATCAAGTGGAATTGCAATTGAAATGAATTGAAACTGTAGTTGTATTGAAATGAAACTGCAGTGTATACAAAATGAAACTGAATAACAATTTCACATAAAATAATACTGTAGTTGTGTTGAAATGAAACTACAGTGTATATACAATGAAACTGAATAACATTTCACTTATTTGAGTGTATATTGTGAAATGAAGCTGTAGTTATATCGAAATGATCATGTAGTTGTGTTTTAATGAAATTATAGTGTATATCAAAAATTAAATAACATTTTCACATATTTGAGTGTATAAATATCGAATGAAACTGTAGTTATATCGAAATGAAACTGTAATTGTGTTGAACTGAAACTGCATTGTATACAAAATGAAACTGAATAACAGAGTTACTTTTTGTGGAACAGTTTGGAACGACGGGAAACATGTTCCGTTTCTTTCATTAAACAAAACGAAGTCGTTTTGAAGTTTGGTGCATAATCGATTATACACCGCCGTGCACGATATAATTTGCCACTATATCTCATACTGGTCGGAAGCCAATCATTCACTAATGGTGTGGCATTGTTAACATGTTTACACAATATCTCAAACATGTGGCTACCCTAGTCCATACGCACACCATTCAAAATACATACCATGCATCATTTTCTGTTCATCATGCGTATAGATATCTCGGCTACTAAACTTTCCATCAATACACTTGCAAATAATATCCCAAAACATACCATAATCATTCTTTAACAAATTCTTCCTACACAAATTTTGGGCGCTACCGGTGCAAGGCAAATTATATCGTGCACCGCGATGCATAATCGATTATTCATCGCGCATCAAAACGATGTCGTTTTATTTAATGAAAAGAAACAAAATCTTCGCAAAATATAACTCTGTTCTTCAGTTTCATTTTGTATACACTACAGTTTCAGTTCAACACAACTACAGTTTCATTTCGATATAACTACAGTTTCATTCAATATTTATACACTCAAATATTTGAAAATGTTATTTAATTTTATTTTATATACATATAGTTTCATTAAAACACAACTACATGATAATTTCTATATAATTACAGCTTCATTGTACAATATACCCTCAAATATGTGAAATGTTATTCAGTTTCATTTTATATATACTGTAGTTTCATTTCACCCCAAATACAGTAAAATTTTGATATAACTGCTGTTTCATTTGATAATATAAAAATAATACGTGAGACAGTGTCGGTTTAGACACAGTGTGTCACTTCGTTATAACTGCAGAAACGGCACCATTTTGTCGCCCGTTTTGTCGCGCGGTGCATAATCAATTATGCACCGCAGTGCACGATATAACGACTGCCGGTGCATCTTCACCATGCATTTGGGCCCAAAAGCTAGGTATGTCAAATTTATGATCTTTCACCCTCAAGGTTGAGACTTGAAAGTTATAAATTCTCCTTCTATCATCAACATTAATAACCACATCACTTTCTCCTACTTTGGAGATGACCAAACCAGTACTATCAATCTTAGCATTCATATAAAATGGGGTCACTTCATCTTCAAAGAAACCTACGTAATTGAAATTGCATACCCTTAGTAGACCACACTCTTCCAAAGAGTTTATGATTTTGACCGCCAAATCCTTATCTTGGGCCTGCTTCTTGAAGAATTCGACGTCCAAAAGCATCCCGCAATGATGCTTCTTGACCTTGTTCGGTGCTCCAGTGGCTCCTTTAGTTGCATCATCTCCTTCCACAGGTATATGCTCATTGTCCATCTCAGATATAGAGGATTGAACTAGGAAGGATTTGGAAATTTTTTAGAAGATTCCGGTGAAGGGTTTATCGGCAGTGTGTGTCGAGAATTTTGGGTGAATGGGTGTGTAAGTGTACAATTTTAGTACACATTAAACCTTTGTTGGCTAATTTATTTAGTCTCACCAGAATTAGAATTAATTAGTTTTATTTAGTTTAAAACTCATGTTTTGGACCACTTCCTATCATTTAACATTTGCATGGCTATATTTTAATTTGTTGATTGGAAAAAGAAAAGTCAGCAATGCAGTGAGTATTTGGAGGTATTCAAATAAAACATGTGGCTTTGATTTAATGAAGAGGTTGAGATGCTTATTATGAGGATCAATGTAATACATATCTAATGCTATAAAAGGAGAACTCGCCAAAGTGGAAGGTTGCCATTTTTTAGAATTGATATATTGAGTAAAGGAATTTCTAGAAAGCTACTGCATAAATATCTATTGTTATTTTATTATTTCTTGAGAAATTCTGCCTGAGCTACACAGTCAGTACCTGGTACAGCTGAAGCTTCGCTTGAAGATTGCTATGGCATGCACGGTTCAGTCCTGAATAGGTGTTAGGAAGGGTTGTAGTAGTAAAGGCTGAGAGCCATTTGTACTTACCTCTTGTAATACTCCTTGGTGAACAACTATAGTGGATTGGGCAAACGTGGGTTGCCCCGCAGACGTAGGAGAATCGCTCCGAACTGCGTAACAGTTCTCTTGTGTTATTGTTTTATTTTATGCTTTCAATTTTCTTTATTTACATTTGATTAAGAAATCTAATTAATCAACGCGATTGTTACATAACATAAAATCAAGTAGAAATATAAGTTAAATCTTACATTCAAGATTCACGGTGCAATTTCAATTGGTATCAAAGCATGTAGACTTAATTTATTAGGCTATCAATCTGGCTATTCCGTGCGTTTTGAACTCAAGCTTTCAGCAGCTTTTATTGCTTTTCTTTATTCTGTTAATTTGTTCAATCTCACGGGTTGTTGAGTGTTACAGAATGGATCGTGTTAAGGCTCTTCCCCAGCTAATCGGCGACAACTACGCTTATTAGAAAGCTCGTACACGTACACATCTAAAAGCTCAGGGTGATGCAGTATGGCGGTCCGTGGTGACAGGTTGGACTCATCGGACTAAAGCCAGTACCAGTGATGATGGAACGCGAGTAACTAAACCTGAAATCGAATGGTCCCAAACTGAAATAACTAATGCTAGATATAACGATAAGGCCTTAGATACGATTTACTCCCTTATGCATGAAAGTCAGTTTTCTATAGTTGCAGGTATTGATTCAACTAAAGGTGTGTGGGAGGCTCTTGAGTCAACTTACGAAGGAACTACGTCGATGAAACAATCAAAACTGCAGCTTGTCCAGCCCAACTTCGAAGAACTTCGGATGAATGAGGATGAGACTATCATAAACTTTCACACAGGTGTACAAGAACTGTCAAATCGTGCGATGGTCCTTGGTGAACCATTCTCGCAAGCGAAACTTGTTAAAAAAATCCTGAGATCCTTACCCCCGAGGTTCAGAATGAAAGTCACGGCTATCCAGGAACATGATGGCTGGGAGAACAAAACAATTACTTAGTTAATGGGAAATCTTAGAACCTATGAAATGGAAATCTTAACTGATCACACGAAAAAACAAAAAAATGTAGCTTTTGCCGCTGAAGAAAATAATATTGTATCTGATTCAGACGAAACAGGTGATGATACAGTTGTCTTTTTTACTAAACAGTTTTCTAAAAATTTGAAATAGGTATCCAAAAATTCACGCAACAGAAATCCACAAAGAGGGGCAACATCGTCCAAATCTAGTCCCAAGACAGGTTCGTCAAACTTCAAGCAGTCTGTCTCACATCCAGGACAGTCCAAAGAAAAACCTAACAATAAAGGAATCAAGTGCTATGAATGTGAAGGCTTTGGACATGTACAAGCAGAGTGTGCCACCGATCTTAGACGCAAAAAGTCTATGTCAGCTATTACCTGGAGTGATGACGAGCCTGACGTTGAAACAACTGGATCTGATGCAGAAGAAATCTCGGGTAATTTTGTTGCTTTTACTGCACGTGTTGCTGGATGTTCAGAACTTGAAGAAGGGGCTGACTCATAGGGTGGTGAATATGTCTCAGCGGAAGATTTAATTAAATGCTTTATCTTTTGAAATTGAGTTTAATAAGTTGTACCTCAAATGGGAAGCCCTACGAAAAGCAAATCGTAGATTAGCTAGTGAGATAGGGATTGTAACAAATGCTAGCAAAGTGTATCAAACTCAAATAGCTGATAGGGATGTACTTCTTAAAGAAGCAGCTAACCGAGAAGAGAGACTGAAACAGGAAGTGCAGACCCTGAAGCAGGAGCTAAGCACCTACAAACGACAAATTCAAATGATGGACACCACTTCAACACTTGACAAAATCCTTGATTCTGGAAGAAAAACTTCTGTAATGAAGGTTACATATTAGGTTTTAAACCAGTATTAATGTAATGGTTAATTGCTATTAATTAAATCCACTCTTTCCTATATATACCAGGATATGATGTAGCTGGAGATTTTACACACCAAAAAATTTAAGCTTTTTCTCTCGAAACCATACTCATCTTCCTCTTTCTTTCTGTATTCAAAGTCGTGTTCTAGTTTGCCAGATTCTTTTGTTTGAGTACTCAAACATAGAATCGAGTGATTCGCTCAATTCAAACTAACCTTAATCCAAAAATCATATTTTCATAGTATTATTTCACTACACTTTTTTTTTTTTTTTTGGTATACCCAGGGTTTCCACCGTCGAATACAGTGACTAATCCCTTCGTTGAATTGTAGGCACCTCTTTTTGGGTGGGACAACTAACTTGAAGATCTAAGGCTGATCCATTCGCAAAGCCAAAGATCGAACCCTTGACCTTTGGTTAAGGATGGATGAGTCTCTTCCACTCAATTATCGAGGCGGCATCATTCTAGAAACAAGATAATCAACGGCTAATATGAGATTTACCTAAAGGGCTTGGACCAGGAAGTATTCGCGCTTGTACCGTTGATCCCTGGAAGAAGCTGGTCGCCCGGGCTCGATAGCAGGGTTATGGAGACCTAACGAGGTAAACAAGTCTAGGGTGCATGCATGCAAGTAAAATGATTGATACAGTTATATATTAAATATATTGATTGATATGCCATTTACAGTATGGGGATACAACGTATATATATGATAATATATGATATATGCATGCATGTTAATTAATTAAATTACATTAAATTCCCAATTCAAATTAGCCTAATTGTAAGTGAGTTATATAATTAATTGTTCCAATTGCCGATATGCTTAGTAGGAATGATGTATTTACTACGTTTACAAAACGGCTGACATTTTAGTTACGTCGCATGCCTGGCCTCCACAACATCCTCGTACTGTACGTTAAATTTGGTTCCAGACCAGTAGTACAAGGTTGTCTGATAGATCTGCAGTTACGTTACGATTCAAATGATTTTGAAGCTTGATGAGGAGGACGACGATGGATGTTCTCTTCTTCTCCTTCCTAGTTTGCCTTTTACTACTCGTTTCCTCCGTTCCTTCAGAATGCAACCCAAAACCTGTCATCTTCAATTTCGGTGATTCCAATTCCGACACCGGGAATTTTTTCATCATCCGTGGGATGCTTTCACAACTCCCACAAAACTTTTCTCTTCCTGTACAGGACCGTTTGTGTAATGGACGATTGGTACTTGATTTCCTATGTAAGTACAAATTTAGTAATATAAAGTTAAAATGCGGCTAGGTCCTCCAGTGCTTTTCAGATATAGTGATAATGTTTTGTGTTGTACGTTGTGGTGCAGGTGAAAGCTTGAATGCTCGTCATTTGAGTCCATTCATGGAATCTGTAGGCTCAAACTTCACAAATGGAGTTAATTTTGCGCTTGCCGGTTCTTCAGCTTTTCCAAGAAGTACTCCTTTTAGTTTGGCTGTTCAAGTTGCGCAGTTTGCTCGATTCAAAAGCCGTTCCCTTCAATTCTTTTCTCCAGGTTATATTATTCATTCAACAGTATTCATTATATTATATATAATACTAGCTTAATAGCATTATGGTATTGAAAATACTCTCTCCTCCTAAATTTCATCTCTTTTTGTACTTTTATTCATTGGGTGTAATGATTTGGTTAATCTGACTACTAAATAAATAGAGAGTTTAGTTACAAATTAGATAATGGGGGTGTGTTAAATAACTTCTGGCTTATTGGCTTAGTAGATTTGACTAGTTGATGGCATTATTAGCTTATTGTAGAAAGATATTTGGTAAATTAGATGTTAGTTGATACTGATTACATGCAAAATGACTTTTTTCAAAAAGCTGATCGTAAAAGTTGCTTTGAACAGCTTTTTGAATTTTAGCGTTTTAGAGCAATAAGCTGTTACAAAAAAAGCTAATTAATCACACACACATATTGGTTCTTTAACCAAGTCAAAGAGTTAATAGTGACCAAACATGTCAAAATTGGCTAATAAGCTAATGACTATGTTACCAAACCTGGCCAATGTCATGTCATGTCATGTAGGATGGATGGAGCGTTATGCTATGGACTCGTGTCCACCATGTGCATGGTGGACACGCTGTACATTCATAATTTCTATACTGAATATTCATAATTTTTGTACTGTAGATTCATAATTTCTATACTGTAGATTCATAAAATTTATAATGTAGATTTATAATTTTTATACTGCACATTCATAATTTCTATACTACACATTCATAATTTCTGTACTGTAGATTCATAATTTCTATACTGTAGATTCATAAAATTTATAATGTAGATTCATACAGTACAGAAATTATGAATGTGCAATATAGGAATTATGAATCTACAGTATAGATTTTATAAATCTACAGTATAAAAATTATGGATTTACAGTTTAGAAATTATGAATCTACAGTATAGAAATTATGAATGTACAGCGTGTCCACTATGCACATGGTAGACACGGGTCCATAGCATAATTTGCCTAGGATGGATTAAGACAAATTTTTATGTGGACCGTGGTCCACATAGCTATTATTAAAATGTACATTTTTAATATACTAAGTGTATGTTATTTGTGTACTGAATATACATTATTTGATAATATACAAAAATAATGTACATTTAGTATTCAAATAATATTCTTTCAAATATAATATACTTTTAATATATTAAAAATATATTTTTTATTCAAGGTCCACACAATTGTGTGAACCACAGTCTATAGAATAATGATTGTGGATTGAAGGAGTACCTAGTATTAGTGGTTTCAAATGGTCAGATTATCTTACAGCTCAGTTTAGGCCTAGTCTATTAGAGGCAGCCTTGCTTGGTTGCTAACTTGCTATATACAATTGTTATATCATGGACTATAGTTTATCGTACACATTGTGAACCCTAACCACATCATGTATTTATTACAATTAAGATATTATGTACCTTTAATTTATTTACATATTTATAATTTGTTAAGTAAATGTACATAATACTTTAACTGAATACACATAATTTAGTACGGAATTGACAATGTGCATAGTCGACCTTGGTGCACGATAATTTACATGTTGCTATATGGCTTGAATTGGAGGTGGCTTGGTCTGTACTCTGTAGTATAGACTAGATCAGGTCATCATTTTTTGTCCATGAATTGTTCCGTAATTGGCTTGCCGATGTTTGAATTTTTAAAAAATAAAATAATTTAATTAATTTATTAACTTTAATTTTTAATAAATAATGATTATTAATTCAAGGTTTTTAAAGATTTCTTTGACTTTTTTATATTATGATTTTATTTATATAAATGATTAACTATCATAAAAATATGTTAATAAATAATTTTTATGTGATATATATAAGTTAAAATAATAAAAATTAACATAAATTAATAAAAAGATTGATCACTATTTTTAAAATTTACTTGTCAATTTTAATGTATAGAAATAAAATCTTTAAATTGTAAATTATAATAAAAATATGTAACTACAAAAATAATAATTTATATTATGTTCTATATATATATATATATATATATATATATATATATATATATATATATATATATATATATATATATATATATATATATATATATATATATAGAAGAGCGCTCATATGCGGCGGGGTCTTACGGTGCGGCGGTGCGGTCAAATTCCAGAATACACCAACAGTGTTAACAATATGCACCAACAGTGTAATAAAAACACACCCCAATGAAATGTAATAAAACATCACAAAATACACCACAGACTCAAAAAAAACACACCATATAACTCACCACCCCCAATGGTGTATTTCCGAACAGTGTATGGTGTTTTTACTCACACCAAATGGTGTGTGTTTGGTGATGCAGGGCTCTGTTTACTCTGTTTTGTGTGGTGTATTTCCTAACGTTGATGGTGCATATTTGGTGAACTATTGGTGTTGCTGCACCGTAAGAAATAACCGCACCGTAAGACACTGTCGCACCTGAACCCGCCTACATATATATATATATATATATATATATATATATATATATATATATATATATATATATATATATATATATATATATATATATATATATATATATATAGCTAAGGACCAGGCCGAGGCTTAGCCAATTCGGTCCAAATTTTAATAGGACCATTTCTGTCCAAAAAGTAAGCGGGTTGGCCTGGCCCAAATCCACCTATTTTATACCTAACGGTATACCGTAGACTAGGGTCAGCAATGTGGTCCAAAAATTATGTGGTTTTAATTAGTTAATAATTATTATGTGTTTGTAAATAAATTGAAGATGCATAATATGTTTAATACAAGCACATAATAGTTAATTATATGCATATAATAGGTTAATTGCAGGTAGATAATATGTTAACTTCATATTATTATGCTCATGTAGTTAACATATTATGTGATTTCATTTTATTTATAGACACATAATTTGTTAACTATATTCACAAAATATATTAAATGAATTCGGATTAATACGAGCTAGGGTCTTCTAAGTATAATGGAACCGCCAAATTTAGTCCTAAATATTTAATTTAACCACACATGGTCTTTCCGTTTGTTTAAGTAAGGGCAAAGTTAGGACTAGAACTGGTTAAAAATTTGTAAGTTTAAGGACTCTATTTGATAAGTGGTTGTTAGTTGTTAGCTGATTGGGCTAATTAGAGGGTATACCTAGTTGATAACATTAGCTGATTGTAGAAAGGTGTTTGGTAAATTAGCTGTTAGCTGATAGCTGTTTGGTATAATTTCTTTTCTCAAAAAGCTAATTGCAAAAGTTGTTTTGAGTAGCTTTTTGAATTTTAGCATTTTGGAATATAAAAAGCTAATAACCAAAAACACTTATATTGATTTTTAAACCAAGTCAAACATCTAATAGTGGTCAAATGAGCTAAAATTGAGCAAATACCAATTTTAGTCCCACAAGTATTAGCAAAATGACGATTTAATCCACATGTTTAATTCCTACCAATTTTCATCCACGACTATTATTTTAGTACCAATTTTAATCCACAACTATTATTTTAATACCAAAGTTCATCATGTCAGTCACCTATCTATTTAAGACATCTCGAAATCTAGAAATTTTAAGGGCATTTTCGTCCTTTTCAACTTAATATTCTAATTTGAGCATAAATAAATGAATTTAAGCCCTAAGATCGATCACAATTCGTAGTTCTCCTCCTCATCCTACCTTAATTTGAGGAGGAAAACTGCGAATTGAGATAGATCTTAGGGCTTAAATCCCTTTATTCATGCTCAAATAGGGATCCTAAGTTGAAAAGCACGAAACTAGCCTTAATAATTTCATATTTCGGCATGTCTTAAACGAAGGAGTGATCGGCATGATAAATTTTGACACTAAAACTATAGTTGTGGATGAAAATTGGTACTAAAACAATAGTCATGAATGAAAATTGGTAGGAATTAAACATGTGGACCAAAACTGTCATTTTGCTAATACTCGTGGGACCAAAATTGGTATTTGCTCAGCTAAAATTGGCCTATAGATTAACTATTTTACCAAACAGGGCCAATGAGTTATTAATTTGAAAATTAAAGGACCCCATGTTGTTAAATTGAAAGTTTAGGTCTAAATATGACAATGCCACCATACTCAAAAGAGCTTAACTAGTATTAACTCTATTCAACTTATAATCTAAATGTTATTTTAAACTAGAGTTTACCGTGCATATAATTTGTCAGATTAACTATTTGTAGGAATTGAAGGTTTATTAGGAGAAGAGGACTTTGCAAATGGCGTTTATGTGATTGACATGGGACAGAACGATCTGGATACAGCATTTGCTTCGCATTCATATGCACAAGTTGTGGAGAGAATTCCCTCATTGATTGCAGAATTTGAAAATGCTATGTGGGTAAGCACCAGGCCAAAATTTAAAGGCAAATTATACTATGGATCGGGGAAATGACATTTACATTATGTGTCTACTTAACATATTAACGGTAAATAAATTATCTCCCTTTTTTATAATAAAAAAAAAACATATTAACGGTAAATAAATTATCTTTTAGCCACCAATTACTAGACTTTCCCTATCGGTCTCTACCCTTGTCAGTTTTAACTGCAACTGGCTCAATACCACTTGTTATGATCAAGTTCTTACCACCAGTGTTTCAAAAATCACTCCTAGATGTCGATCGACCGCCTAACATATCACCATAATATGTGGTCTAAGCGGCTAGCCACCTAGGCGCCGACAAGACCGCCTAGTCGGCTGATTAGCTATTGTTCTCTTTCTTTCTTTTTTATTTTTTTTTTTATAAAAAAATTTGATTATTTCACTGAAAACGAAGTCGTTTTGAACGAAATAACCCTAAATTGTTCAAACGCTTGATTTTTTTAAGGTTAATATTTATTCCATAATATTTTAGTATTAACTATTAAGGTATTTATTATTATAACTATCAAGTCTTAAAAAATTTTAAATAAATTTTAATATATATATAAAAAAATACACAGCTAGAAGTGTCTAACAATTTTTTCAATCATGATTACCACTAAGCCATTACATTTTCGAGAGACATTATGTTAGACTTGGCCCTTTACCAACTTCCGCCTAACAATCCCTCTAGCCATCAGACTTGGTCCTTCATCGATCTCCGCCTAACATTTAACTACAGAAGTATAGATACATACTTTTTGAAATAGATCCACAATACAAAGTAGACCTTGATTCATAGTATAAGAATTGGAATTTGAATATGCACATAATCTTCTGACTCTAATTAATTTAATTTGTATATAGAGACTGTACCTTCTAGGGGCAAGGAAATTCTGGGTACACAGCACAGGCCCACTAGGTTGCTTGCCTCTAATACTATCAAGAAGAAACTATTCCGCCGGAGATTTGGACCGCCATGGATGCTCAAGGGCCGTTAACCGAGCCGCACTGGAATTCAACGACCAACTATCCCGCCTCTGCCGCCAGCTCCGCCGCCGCATGAAGGAGGTCACGGCGGTGGTATATGTGGATGTGTTTGCAATCAAATATGACCTCATTGCCAATTCCTCCAAGTACGGTTTTGAAGAGGACCCTATGAGAGTGTGCTGCGGCCATGGCGGCGGCCGCTACAACTTCAATGCCACCTCCCAATGCGGCAGCCAGGATTTTCAAGTGTGTGACCGGATGTCTGAATATGTGAATTGGGATGGAACTCACTACACTGAAGCTGCTAACAAATTTGTTGCCACTAAAATACTTTCAACTGTTTACTCCACGCCTCGCCTCGCATTAGCTGACCTTTTCTTGCCCGGGTATGTTGCACCAGAATCAGTAAGTTAAATCTGTGTGAACTAACTAACATTTTCTTGAACATACTCACTCACTTAGTTCATGTGACACAATGTAATTAACCATCCCTTAATTAAGACCGCTTATTATTGTAGTATGATGATGTCAAAATTATATATGCAAGAGGTCCATCTCAAGCATGTATGCATGCAGGATGCCTTCTTATCTATCTTTTAGAGCAATCTCGGCAGACATAATTTTTTTGTTGATTTTTGTCTGGGTTACTCAGAGAGATCGAGGAAAGAGAAAAAGAGTAGAAAAAGAAAAAATTAAAATAATAAAATAATTTTGTAAAATAAATTGCCGGTTTATGCGCCCGGCTGGGTGCATTTGATGCGCACTGCGCGCACCGCGTCAAAATCACTTGTTTTTGTTTTTTGTTATCTGAACCGACAAAAAAATTTATGAATGGTTCTATTTGCACCACTCTTTAATTAAAATGGGATATAAAGTACATTGAAAATATAAAAATATGATAATTTATACGAGTAATAAATACATAAATGGTGCAAATAGCCTAATGGGTGATCAAAATGTTATTTGCACCTCCTTAATAAAACTGCATTTAATAGATTTAAGTAATAATTAATTAATTCAAAATTTAATTCATTAAATTTTTTTTAAAAAAAAAAATCATAGCCTTCTCACCAGAGAAGGCGATGGACATGCCTTCTCACCGGAGAAGGCAACCCAGAGGGTCGCCTTCTCACCGGAGAAGGCCACCCAGGTAGCCTTCTACCTGGGTTGTCTTCTCCGGTGAGAAGGCAACCCACTGGGCTGCCTCTCTGGTGAGAAGGCAGTCCCTTGCCTTCTCACCGGAGAAGGCGAGGGGTTTAATTTTTTTTTTTAATTAATAATTTGATTGTAAAAAAAATATAAAAAATAAATATTAGTCTTTGACCACATTAAATGATGGTGGTGCAAATATCACTTTTTAATTAGCACCACCTATAAAGTGGTTTGACCTATTAAATAGGTGGTGCAAATAGTAAAATAGGTGGTGTGAATAGAATTTTCCAAAATTTATACTTGCAAGAGCTTCTCAACTTTTCTCTCATTTCTTTTCTTTCCTCCACCTTAATATTGACCTCACAAAAAACTCTAAAAAGAAATCATTAATGTTGTTGCTAAAGTAATTAAACATTTTCAATAAATTATGGCAAAAGTGGATTTGCACTTTTGTTGTTTTCCGCAATTGTTATTTGCCCCACAATTATCTCTAACTTGAGTTATTCTTATAATATTCAATATTTTTCTTAGTTTTATGTTTCTATGAAATTAATGTGCTTTGACATTATTCTAATTTTGATTTCCAATGTACTGGAATATTATTTTCAGTACTGGAATATAATATTCAGTGCACAGAGAATATAATTTTCCGAGCAATGACGGATTGTGTTCAAAAATTAACTATATAGTATTTGATACTTGTTCTCCAAATATTAACTATACAGATGAATGATTTTTCATTTTGTCAACTAAACATTCTAAGTGAGGCAACTAAAGAGTCGGTTAGGCAAAAAATTCATGTTTGGTAATTAATTAGTACTTAGTAGTGTGTTTGAACTTTGGATTGCTATTTTCTTATATAATGTGTTAGACTTTAGATTTGGACTATATGAATATGTATTGTTTGGTAGTGTGTTTGGAAAATTAGAAAATGTTAAAAATTGGCGTTCTTAAACCGAACAAAACTAATTTTGAACTAAAATCGAACTTTTTCAAACAGAATTGAAACCGAACCGAAGTATAATGCTAAACCGAATGGTATAACTTTTTAAATATCGAGATACCAAAATCGAAAAAAAAAAAAAAAAAAAAAAAAGTCGAACCAAAATCCCGAAACACCCACCCCTTAAAAGGAACTTTCTGGGATGTCTTCCACTATTTTTCTTCAACCACAATGGTTAAAGTTTGGAATAAGGGTCAAATAGGCCATCGAACTGCACAAGATAATGCAATTAGGCCACTGAACTTAAAAAATCAACAATTAGATCCCTAAACTAACCAATTTCAAACAAATCTTCCAATTTGTAGGTTTCCAACAGGTTAACAGGTCATCCTCCCAAATTATTTATTTTTTAAAAAATAAAATTTACAAATTAATTATTTAAGTAATTAAAAAAAAAAAAAACAGAAACGGCGCCAGTTTCTTCGTCTCCATGGCCGGAGACGAAGAAATCGTCGTCTCCGGCCGTGGAGACGAAGAAACTGGCCGGAGACGAAGAAGTTTCTTCGTCTCCAGCCGTTTCTGTTTTTTTTTTTTTTTTTTAAATTTTAATAATTAATTTTTAAATTTTATTTTTTTAAAAATAATTAATTTGGTTGTTGACCTGTTAGAAACCTTCAAATTGGATGAATTGTTAGAAATTGGTTAGTTTAGGGACTCAATTGTCGGTTTTTTGGGTTCAGTGACCTAATTGTATTATTAGGTGCAGTTCGATGGCCTATTTGACCCTTATTCCGTTAAAGTTTTATTATTATTATTATTATTATTATTATTATTATTATTATTATTATTTTTGTAGGCTTTCTGTTAGATTGTTGCATTTTTGGAGAAGATTGAAAAAATAAAATAAAAAAGAAACTTTGTGCACCCAACGGGCTTGTGAAAGGCAAGTGCCCGCCACACGTGCACGTTCTGCGAATGTTGTTATATATATATATATATCGGTAAGATCAAATAAAAATTATTGTTCTTGTGTAAAGTGTACAATCAAATTTTACAAGTTGCACAATCCAAATACAAAAATAATGATAGAAATTCAGCTTTTTAAGATACACAATCACTTATCAAATGCACAATCAAGCATGCATTATAAAATGCACAAAGAATAATTCACAGAAGAAAGATTATTCTCATCTAATCCTGTGCCAATTCAAACCGTTTGCAGTAAACCCTTTCTCTTCTCTCCTTTCTCATCCCCTTGAAAAAACCCTACCAAAAACCCGCTTAAAACTCCAATAAAGTTGCTCTTACAATTGAAGTGGTGCTCAATCTATACTATATATAAAAACAAAATCCTGAAATTTTAACTTCCCGTCCAATTCCTAAAAAATCTCTCTTCCTAATAAAATATATTGATTTCTACTTTCCCATTCGTACAATAATTCTGCGTTAAAATTCTATTCTAATATTATAAAATAGGGTAATACAATCTATACTATATATAAAAACAAAATCTTCAAATTTAAACTTCCCGCCCAATTCCTAAAAAATCTCTCTTCCTAATAAAATATATTGATTTCTACTTTCCTATTCGTACAATAATTCTGCGTTAAAATTCTATTCTAATATTATAAAATAGGGTAATACAATCTATACTATATATAAAAACAAAATCCTGAAATTTTAACTTCCCGCCCAATTCCTAAAAAATCTCTCTTCCTAATAAAATATATTGATTTCTTCGTACAATAATTCTGCGTTAAAATTGTATTCTAATATTATAAAATAGTGTAATACAATCTATACTCTATACTATATATAAAAACAAAATCCTCAAATTTTATCTTCCCGCCCAATTCCTAAAAAATCTCTCTTCCTAATAAAATATATTGATTTCTTCGTACAATAATTCTGTGTTAAAATTATATTCTAATATTATAAAATAGTGTAATACAATCTATACTATCTATACTATATATAAAAACGAAATCCTGAAATTTTAACTTCCCGCCCAATTCCTAAAAAAATCTCTCTTCCTAATAAAATATATTGATTTCTACTTTCTCATTCGTACAATAATTCTGCATTAAAATTCTATTCTAATATTATAAAATAGTGTAATACAATCTATACTATATATAAAAAAAAAATCCTGAAATTTTAACTTCCGGCCCAATTCCTAAAAAATCTATCTTCCTAATAAAATATATTGATTTCTACTTTCCCATTCGCACAATAATTCTGCGTTAAAATTCTATTATAATATTATAAAATAGGGTAATACAATCTATACTATATATAAAAACAAAATCCTGAAATTTTAACTTCCCGCCCAATTCCTAAAAAATCTCTTTTCCTAATAAAATATATTGATTTCTTCGTACAACCGCCAAGGCAATGAATATGAAAGAAGAAAATAGGGAAGAAAGAATTAAAAAATGCAAGCCGGATTCAATTGGTAGACTTGGTACTATTTAAGCATGTATTTTCAGTTTTGAAAACAACTTTGAATTGTGTTCCTAATTTCTTGAAAAAAGAAAGAATAGTTCTCAATTTTGAAAATGGGAAAAGAACATAGTAAATACCTAGATAATTTTCAATTTTCGAAAATTCTTGAAAATTTCTAAATGCCTCTAATGTCAAGGCCAAACAAGCTCAAACCAATCAAGGATATGCTCTCCAAGTAATTCCTATCATTAACAATCAAACAACTCTCCAAAACCTCCCCAAACCAATAGTCAAGATTGAGCTCCTCGTCCCACACAAAGGATGAGACCGATGCCCTTTCAAGTAGGATTCCAACTACCCTTTAAGCCACCCTTAAGCCAAGGCCACATCCCCACCGGCACAACGTACTGTGTTTTAGCCCGAGAGAACTTAAGGGACCCGACTTAAGCAATGACACTCCCCTCCTTCCACCCTCATCCCAAGATCTCAGTAGCTTTTAATCAGGATACTCCATTGTATTAGGACTTTGTCCCTCCTGATTATATTTCTCCATTTATTCGTTAATATATGCCAACGCTGTTGATTTTAAAAAAAAAAAAAATTTCCATAATATATGTAAATTTGTAATTTTTAAATTAATTAAAAAGGTGGAAGTTCAAATGTGAGAATTATTTATTTTAAGTTTTGGCTTCTAATTAATTTTTTTTTGGGGTAATATTATCTAGAAATTATATGATTGTATGAATGAAGGATTTAAATGTTGAAGAAGATTATAACCTAAGTTTTTATTGATGAATGAAATAGACAATAGAATAGATCAAACGTACTGTAAGTGATAAATTATACTATAGTAAATCAAGTAATTATTGACATT